TCCAAGCATCAATTTAATATTTGATGATTTATTTTGGTACCTCCCATTGGAGTTGCTCTTATAGTCTTTAAATTGATGTTCGAAGTCGAATATTTTCTTTTTAGGAGTATTTACTATTTATACAAAACAATCACTTTAGTAATAATTTTTAAAATTATTCTAAGAAAAATGATCAACTGGTTCAATAGTAAGTCAGTTGGTCGTCGTCCGATTAATTATGTACCGACCAAGATTTAAAATGTTGATTATATATTCGAAAATCTTTCATTCATTGATATTTTATGGACAATTCGATGTGTATGCGGAATGGAATGTACCGACTCGAAGACCGTCCCCGCCCCGTTGACCATGGACCCGGATCCGACCAAGTACGGGTCAGTTCCGTGTCCCGATTTTTCAGACACGTGACACGACTGGTCTACCTGGCGGAGGGACTCGAGGGCCCAACCCGATTTTAAGTGAAATAATCACATAAAATGCTCAATTTGGGGTTCCGACCCCGGGTGGCCCGAGTGGTTTAGTAGAGTACTAACCACTCGGGCAAAATTACTTATTGTAATACTAATCCTAACTATAAATATATAAATATAAATAACTCTATAAATGATTATAATAATTTTATAACTAATGTTTAATAAATTATTAATTGTTATGTCACTATTATTAATATTAAAAATCTCCACTAACAACAAATGTATATATATTTAATTTTGAAAAATATAAAAAATTACGATTTAATTTAAAAGAAAGATTGAAATTTGATTTTTTTTTAATTTTGAAAAAATTCTCAATTATTATTTTAACTTATAAATACCCGTAATCCAATCTTCACAACTTTAATTTTATTTAGTTTATGTCTCAAGGTCTTAATCGTTTCATTCTTTTCTAAAATTGTTTAGTATTTAAATTCAATTTTTTTTTTGTAATTTTAAATTTAAAGTTAATCTCAAGTTTCAATTGAAGTTTTTTTTTTTTTTTGATTTCTTGTAATTATTTGGAAAAAAAATAATAAATAAAAAATAATTGAAAAAATTGGTTTGGACCCGGTCCAGAGCGGGATGGATCTGGATGGTCCCGGGTGGACCGCCCCGGACCCAGACCCTCCTCCTCACGGGTCGGGGACCGACACGCCCCGTGGCCGTGTCTAAATATCATGTATGCCCCATTCATAAGGGGTAGTAGGCGACGCACTTTTTGGTATCGTGGGACGGCAAAAGGGAGTTAAAATGAGTTTTTAGGGGGTAGTTTGCCAAAAAAAAAATATTGAATCATAATTTGTTTTTGATACTAAAATTACATGAGTAGTTCTTTAACAATTAGAGAAAAACAGTGTTGCCAACCAAATACATTATGAAAAAATCGATTGGTTGAGAATTTTGTTGACATACGTAGGACCGGCAATTGAGTTGGGCCTACCCGATGCCCGATAGCTTGGCCCAATTTTATTTGAGTCGAGGTCGATTAATTGTGAGCCAAGCCGAGTTTGAGCCGTTTCATTAAACTCGATTAAACTATGAGCCGAGTTTGAGCTTACCATGGCTCAGCCCGAATAAAGTCCGACTAAATTAATATATATATATATATATATATATATATATATATATATATATATATATATGGGTAAATTACAATTGAACGTAGGAGGTATGGTCAAAT